CCTGCTCTGGTGCTAACCAGCCAGAAGCTGCCACTGGCCGTCCACGCACCAGGAAACTGTGAGCACAGAGCAAGGGGAGGGGAGGGGTGGGGCTGGGTGCTCCCCAATACATAGCGTAGATGGGTGCAGGTCTGAGATGGGCAGTGGTGGGACTGCAGGGCACTGTGGGGGTCTCGGTGCTCTGGCAGGCACTGGCTAGCACTGTAGAGCAATGGGTCTCCATCCAGCTTACCTTCTCCTCTCTGTGTCCCCAACGTCTCCCAGCCACCCTCATTCTGCGCCTGTGCAGGGAGCCTGGCTGCCATGGCCTGGAGCTCTGGAACACGGCTCTCCGGGAGGTGAGTACCTGGGGCTGGGAAGGGAGAGGGCGGGAGGTGGTGCCGGTCTGGGGAGGCTCTTGTTTCCATTACACAGGGGCTGAGATGGTCTGGGAAAGGTGCTGGGGCAGGGACCCAGATTGGTTAGAAAGTCCAGGCTGAGGTCCGCTTTACTGAGCAGAGTATTTCTTTCCATCCTCATCCACTCCACCAGGTGTCTGGAGCAGTGGTGGTGTCCGGGGTGCTGCAGAGCATGCTGGGGCTGTTGGGGGGTCCTGGCCGCTTGTTCCCCCACTGTGGGCCTCTGGTGCTGGCCCCCAGTCTGGTTGTGGCCGGGCTCTCTGCTCACAGGGAGGTGGCCCAGTTCTGCTCTGCTCACTGGGGCCTGGCCTTGCTGTACGTGAGTCCTGAGAGATGTGGGATGGTGGTTAGTGGCGTGGGCTGTGTGGGACTGGAGAGGGCAGAAGTGCTGGCCCTGTCCGATGTGACAGGCCCTGAGCTGAGACAACCTTTTTAGATTTGGAATCCAAGACTTTTCCTTGACTCCTCTGGTCTCTCTGACTTTCACACTGTCTGCTACCATCCCTCAAGGTGCCTGACTGCCTTTTATGGGGGGATGGGGGGTGGGGAGAGGGTTTCTTCTCTGGGAACCCCTTTTACGGTGTCCTGCCCACTCCTGCCTCCATCACCAACCCTCACAATGTCCACAGCCTCTTGCTCCTAAAGCAGCATCTGTCTCCTAGGCTTATCCTGCTCATGGTGGTCTGTTCTCAGCACCTTCGCTCTTGCCACGTCCCCCCATGTCCCTGGAGGCCAGCTTCGACCTCTTCGGCTGATGCTCACGTCCCTGCCTTCCGGCTCCTCTCGGTATGTGGCGATCTGGCAGGAGGTGCCCAGGTTAGCAGGGCTGGCTGGAATGCCTGCTCAGTCCTGCTCCGAGCTGGCTCAGAAGCTCCTGGAGGAGACGTTCTTCCCTGTCTCAGTCTTGCCCCTCAGGTGCTGATCCCGGTGGCCTGTGTGTGGCTCGTCGCTGCCTTTCTGGGTCTCAGCGTCACCCCTGGGGAGCTGTCTGCCCGCATGGAGGCACCATGGTTTTGGCT